ACATATTTGGCAAAGTGGCAGTGAAAACTTTCATTCATACATTGTATAAATATTTATTAATTGCTTTCCATGTACAAGGCACTTTAGACTTGTCTGTTATTGGCATCGTTAACACCTAGTATAATTATTATGATTACTTGTGAATTAAAATCTAAAGTCAAAACTCTTCATATCCTTTGATCCAACACAGTCAATCATTATTTACAGAGTCCATATTGGCGAATCTGTCTACATGCTAAAATTTATTTATAACCCCCAAATCAATACTCAAGACACTTCTATGGTCATTTATAGCAGGCAGCAGAGCAGGGACAAATTGCAATTGCCCAACTCATATGCTGTCAAACAAAAGCAACACTCTGCCTTCTTGTTCCAGCTCTCACACTGTAAACAAAGGTCCTCTGAATGATCTATCTAGTACCATGTTTTTTGAATTTTTTCCATGCTTTCTAAAACAGCCTCCAAGCATAGTGCTGAGGTGGCTGTCTAGTGTTCCTAAGGGCCTATAGTCCCAGCTACTCGGGAGGGTGAGGCAGGAGGGTTGCCTGAGCCCAGGAATTTGAGGTTGCAGTGAGCTATAATGATGCCATTGTCCTCTACCCAGGTGACAGAGCAAGATTCTGTCAAAAAATAAAAAATAAAAAAAAATTAGCTATAACAAAAAAAGATATAAACAAAAGGTAACTAAACATGTTCACTAGAGCAGAATAAAAAAATTGGAAACAACCTAAATGTAATTTACGTTGTAGTAGCACAGAAAGTTTATCCGAAGAGAGGGGTAAAAGGATAAAACAAGTGTATGCATACTGAATACAATTAAATAAACAATATGTATACACAAGGAAAAAGAGAAAAAGAAAACACATGGTAAAAAATAAACAGCTCTGCTACAAATGTATGCTTGACTTTCAAAGAGCTTTGATACTGTTTGGATATGCTGTAAACAAATAAAAACTTAATAAGCTAATACTTCTCAAAACAAAACAAAAATAGTTATGAGTACTACAGGGCAAGTTAAGAAAATACAAGAAGATGCTCAAAGATGTGTTAGACGTAATACTACAAGGAAAGAACATAAAAAGTGAGTTCAAAAAGCACTACGAGCCATTTTACTAAGGTATGTCTTTTATCCTTCCAAGTTTCCAAGACCAGGGAGAAAATAATCTCCTTCCTGAAAGAGAAGAGGGCAAAGGCGTAAGGCTTGATCTCAACTTCTTTACCCAGAATCCTTTGTATTGTAGGAGGATGAAGGGATCCACAAGGCCCAGATTATTTTCCTTTGCTACAATCAGATTACTGAAACTGGCAAGCTCTTCTTAGAGGTTTGAATTTTTTTCTGAAGCAAGGTGAAGTATAAATCTATAGGTGAAGAAGTATCTTTCATTACAAATGGAGCTGTGCTTCTTGTTAAAATGCAGGTTCTGACTCAGTAGGTCTAACATGGGGCCTGAGATTCTGCACAAATAAGCTCCTAGTAGGTAACGCTGATAATGCTGGTCTCTGGGCCATGTTGTGAGTAGCAAGGTCACAGAACATGTGTTATAAACTGGTAGACTGTTGGTATAGACATGGTTTCTTTGGCCAGTACTGTGTTCTAAAAATTAGAAAAACTTTCACAAAAATTCAGATTTCCAACTCCTATTTAAAAAGTAAAGAAATAAAAAATAACATTTAGAAAATCTAACAAAACAGGATCTGGACTCTGACATGGTAAAATTAGCAGGAGCTGCCAGGTGTTGTGGCGCATGCCTGTAGTTCCACCTACTCAGCAGGCTGAGGCAGGAGGTTCACTTGAGCCCAGGAGTTTCAGGTTGCAGTAAGCTGTGATAACACCACTGCACTCTAGCCTGGGCAACAGCAAGACCCTGTCTCCAAAAAAATAAACAAAAAGTAATTAGCAGGAGCTGAGTAGTAAGGCATGTGCTCTCCAGTCTGTCAGAGCCTCTTCTCTCTCCTTCCCTTTCTGACTTAAACCTGGCTTCATTCACTTACTTTACCTGCCTTTATCCTAGATGATTAAGCTTATCAATCGCTTCTACCTAGATATCAAACTCTGCAACACTGTGCTGAAATGTACATCAAATTTGTTTCCCCCATTGGAAGAATAAATTTTGATTCACCGGAAAACCTAGCTGCAGTACTTACA